AGGTTTTTTGTTGTTTTTTTTTTTTATAAGATTTTATTTATTTTGAGACAGAAGGGTGAAAGAGAAATAATGTGTGGTTGCTTCTCATGTGCCCCTCCACTGGGGACCTGGGCCATAACCCAGGCACGTGCCTAGACTGGGAATCAAACCAGTAACCCTTTGGTTCACAGGCTGGCACTCAATCTACTGAGCCACACCAGCCAGCGCTTCTTCCAAGGGTTTTTTGCTTTTGCTGTTGCGTGAACCACCCATACAACCCGTGCAGAACAGCTGAAGCTAAGACATCATGCCTGCCTGACAGAGGCTTTCAAAGCAAACTCATCTAATGAAAGTATTCGCTCCACTTTCTGAATTCCATGCTAGTGACCTAATTCTTGGTGAAATGAGTTTGGGGAAAGAAGACCCTAATGCTTATATTGTTAAAAACATTTGTTGGCTCAGAAGGCTGGGGAGACAGATCCCTGATGGAGCAATTCCTCTGACCATTAACCTTGTTCCCTCCAACCTTTTTGTTAGCTTAGATGCTCCTCAAGTATGAAAACATCTGAGTAGGCCCATTTCCTCCAGGCAGTGAGTGATACGGTATTAAATGTGTAGAATTTAGCCCTGGCTGGTGTAGCTCAGTGGGTTGAGCGCGGGCCTGCGAACCAGACAATCGCGGTTCGATTCCCAGTCAGGGCACATCTCTGGGTTGCAGGCCAGTTCCTAGCAGGGGACGCACGAAAGGCAACCATACATTGATGTTTCTCTCCTTCTCTCCTTCCCTTCCTCTCTAAAGATAAATAAATAAAATCTTAAAAAAAAAATGTGTAGAATTTAGGAAACATCAAGGCAGCGATTATGAAGGGGAACTTGTGTTAAATATTTATTTTTCTCCCCCCTTCCCGCTTTATAGCATAATGTCATTTGGACCTACCTGAATATGAATTCCCTTTTCTGGCTAATAAACTACACTCTGTCCCGGTACATTTCTCTTCTGCCACACAATGTGGGATGTAGCACCCGTACAAATTAGTGTCCGGTTACTTCCTTTTGGTAGCTGGGATACGGGTTTAACGATGTCTGGGCAAGTTCAGTGCTCTCACAGCTTTAGTTTACTGTGTGTGTGCACACACTATACACGTGGATTCAGAATGTTCCTTTTCTAGATGCCAACCTACCACAGATGCTCTCCCACACCGGATCAGGACTGTCAGCCACGGGAGGAAGAGGAATGGTCTAATGAGTGTTACTCAGTATCCTACGCACTACGAACTGGGATATAGCAAAGATACAAAGCTGTGTCCTACCAGGTCTGTCACTGAGATTCAAACTCAAGTTTTCCCTTACTACAAAAGCTATGACACCTTGATAGTTAGTTACTCCTTGAAACCGTATGGAAGGTACAGCAACTGAGTAGTATACAAAGTACTTCGGCTCTCACAGCAGTCAATCTGGCTGTTAATGAAAGCAGTGACGTTCAAGCAGAAATGAAGTCTTGGCAAGCTCTTGGCCGCTGGCTACACACAAAGTGAGTTCCCCTTCTTGACTTCAGGCTTTCACAGCTGACTTCAGCTCTTCACCTCTCTGTAAATCAGCCCATCTTTTCTGTGTCTGGTCTGTGAAAAAGACCTTGGCCCTAGCTGGCATGGCTCAGTGGACTGAGCACTGGCCTGCAGACGAAAGATTGCTGGTTCAATTCCCACTCACGGTACGTGCCTGGATTGTGGGCCGGGTCCCCAGTTGGAAGGTGTGAGAAGCAACTGATCGCTGTTTCTCTCACACATCATGTTTCTCTCCCCCTCTCTCTCTAAAAATAAATAAATCTTAAAAAAAAAAAGACAACCCTGGAGTCAAAACCAAGGATGGGTGTTGTGTGTGGGGGTCATAGCACCAAGGTAGGTCACACAGGGTTACTAAGCAGGAGCTCATGATAAAGGGCACATAGGGATCACTTCCCCCGAGCCACCTGTGCCTTGCAAAGCATATAGAAAGTATTTTCCATTCCTCAAAATCATAACCTGAACCCGACCTCCTCCCTTTAGCACATGGTTAAGACAATCCACATAAGCCCCCCCACAAATGTCTTCGTGTGTCCTGCCATGATGCCGACCAAACTTACAACTTCTCCGCTCAGTTGACCCCGTGCGTCTCCTTAATGCTGTCCTCTCCCTAGCAAGCCGCTCCCAGCCCTGACCCGGAAGGTTACTCCTTCCAGGAAGGCTGCCCCACTGTGTTAGCTTTAGTGGCAAAAGGTGGTGGTTCATTAAATAATCTGGTGCTTGTATTCAGATTGCATATTAAAACTGAAAGGTTTTTTTTTTTTTTTTGCCTATACATGTCTATAAACCACTCGAATATAATTATTTACTGGGGTATTTAAACAGTGACCAACTAAGGATTTTTTAACTGGTCCGTCAAACCACCTCTGATCCAACAAGTTCCTCACTGTCCACTAGATGGCACTGTTCAACAGCCGTGACTGTGAAAAGGAAGTAATCCCATCGGAGGCAAAATAGACAAATTTGAAGAAATTTAAACAGCCAAGTCACTTGCTCCTGCAGGTCTCCAAATAGGCTACGCTGGGATTATGACAAAAATATGATAAAGATCATTTCTAATTCCTACATATATAGTCTAGTAGTCTAGAATGATTCAGTAACTACCATTATTTCAGTTCATGTCTTAACTCTTCAAGTAAATGATGCACACCCTATGGCAGACTGCCTCACACTAGCATCTTTTAAAGCAACAAAACTTTAATCACAACTCCCCACAAATGAAAAGGGATACCACGGAAAGTGAACATTAGGCTTTCTACAACTGGGTGTCAGAATGAAGTCAACCTTCACCAGGTGAACGCCAACTTCTCAGGGAGCAGAGCAGCTGAGGTGCAAGCTGGCATGCGTGCCTGGGGAGAAATCTGTAGTTGCCAACAGGGAAGAGGGTTTGTGTGTGGCTGTTAAGGTGGAAGCAGAGACTCATGAGTGCAGAGCCCACCATGTTTCCAGGGGACGGCCGTTAGAGATACATTCAACCCCACAGTCACTGGGGATGAGCCACTTTTCAATCACCATGTCTTCAAATTCATTCCCATTAAAATTAGTAAAGCCCCACTACTTGGAGATGTAGGTGTTCTGGAGGCCAGGGAACGTGAACTTGGCTCTGCGTAGGGAGGGCCTCAATCACATGCTCCTTGTTCTGCAGCTTGGTGCAGATGGACATAACTTGTCCAATGTGGACCCCCGGCCACTGTGCCCCGGGGCTTTCCGAAGGCACTGCATACAGGTCTGGGGCCTGTCAGCCCCAGCACAGGGCATCTCGTTGATGCGGATGACATGGAATGGGCGGAGCCCCACTCGGATGTGCAAGCCATCTTTGCCAGCTTTTCACCCAGTACTTGACACAAATATGGGAACTCTCTAGGGCTTCGGAGAAGGGCTGCTCGTATTCATCTGACACCCTGTGGCCAGAGTGGGAACTCGTCCACCTTTGCCTTTTCCCCGCCTCGGGTCAAAGATGCAGATCTTAGCATCAGAGACATCCGGGTAAAGGGGAGACTTTGGGTACAGCTTGTTCTCATACCGGTATCACTGGCCGGGGCAGCGGCCCATGGCAACACCAGGATCTTCACTGGCTCAATGAAGGGAAAGAGCTGAGGAGGAATTTGAATGACCAGATCCCCTAGCCACAGCCGAAAACTAAACAAGTCAGCCTCAGTGTGGGCCAGTAAAAACAGCACAGGACTATTAGACACCCTCACTCTTGGTTCTGCTCCCAATTTGGCATAAACTTCACATAACTCAGTCTTCTGGGCCTCAATTTATTTCTTTGTAAAATAATAGGGCTTAAAAGGCCCTAAAAACTATGATTCAAAATACATTAAAACAAAAAAGTACCTAGAAAGTGTTAAAAAGCAGAAAGATAAGAATACATTTAACATTTTGAATTGACTCACCTAGGGACAAAATATTTTTCACTACTTCAATAACCTTGATAAAACACAGACAATGGCTTTGAAGGAACTATTTTGAAAACACCTTCTGGTTCTGGTTTCTCTTAAGCATGGTTCTGAGGGAGGCTGGATTACTTGTGGTAAGATTCGTACTACACACTACTTACTTTCTGAAATTGTCACTCTGTGAAAAGCCAAAAATAAAAAATCAGGACTTGGCATTCTGGGCTTTCTTTTAACACCCACTCATTATCTGGGTTCAGTAGCAAGAGGCCACCACTGAGTAAGGAAAGACACCACCTGCCAACTTCCTGTGTGCATAACGCATTATTTGGCGGAAGCAAGCTATCCTTAAATACCTTTCAGGGCCTTAGACTAGACTGAGAAGACACAAGACCTAAAACCCTGAACAGGAGATGGGCCATGTGCCCAGAGGCTAGGTAGGTCACAGTTCAGTAAAGCAGGTATTTTTATGGAAGACCCTGCGCCAGGATGCTGCTAAGAGACCGTCATCCTGATCAAAAGGCACATATGTTCTATGAAGAGACGGAAATACAAAACTTAAAAACCAGGCCCTGGCTGGGTAGCTCAGGTTACATACAAGAATCAACCAGTGAATGCACAGATAAGTGAAACAAGAAAACATCAAACCGATGTTTCTCCCTCCACCCCTCCCCCTCACCTACAAGAATACATAAGTGGAACAACAAATCGTCTTTCTCCTTCCCTCCTTCTCTGAATTATTTTTAAAAACTTAAAAACCAGATATAATAAGAGTACTAAATAGTGTGAAGAGGAGCTTCAAAGACAGTGAAAAAGATTAGTCCACATGACGTGCACTTGTTAGTGGCACAGAACACGGGCCCCGTGAAATCCATGTCCAACTGCCAACAGGAATGGGAGAGCAGGGTGGGGGAGGGAGAAGGCAGTGGCAGAAAAGGAACACGGTTTTGAAGGCATTTGTGTCAAAACTTCACAAAGCTCGCTTTTAAAGGAGAAATGGCTAGCCCTGATTGCTGTGGCTCCGTGGGCTGGGTGACGGCCCACAAACTGGAAGGTCACTCACTGGTTCCGGTTTGATTCCAGGTGAGAGCACGAGCCTGGCTTGCGGGCCGGGTCTCCGGCTGAGGTTGTGCAAGAGGCAACCAATCAACATTTCTCTTCCTCTCTCTACAAATAAATATATAAAATATTTTTTAAATAAAATGGCTAGTAATTTTTGGCACAAACTGTTAAATCTGAAGTTTTATAAGGAAGTTTAGGCAAGCAAAATATTCGACGATAGGTAAATTAATGTAACTTTTAACAGAACTCCTTTTGAGATATTCTAAGAAGCCGGTTTATTTTTGGTGTCATCTGTAGCAAGATGACAAGCACAAACGTGACATCCGCACGGTCACTTCATCTCATCCTACTTCTGCCAGTTTCATCACGAAACACGCGAGCCCGTCCCCACTGCCCCGATGTCCTCAGGGGAGGCAGTTCGCCGTTCCTGCGTATTTTCCTCACTCCCACAGTTCCACACAGTAAACCCAATCTACCCTTTCAACACACCCAGTGGCTTATACCCAAATGTGCTTCACCCTCTTACCCTCCTCGCCTTCCCACCCTGGAACCCCTGGGCTGCCGCTTCCCGTGGGGCGGGGAGGAGGCGCGGGACTCACCCAGACCCCAGGAACTTCTCTGTTCACCCTAGTTGGGGGGGGGAAATGGGCTATAAAATACTGAAGGAAATCTATAACATACCAAAGTGATTACATCGACAGAATTTCTTCAAATTCTTATTAAAACTTTACAACACAGAAACCATACAAAACTTGCGTTTTAAGTAGCATCCACGTTCAACGAAGGTATAAAACACAACGACTTTATTGATTTCTTACAATCAAATACTGCCAACTAGCATTACTTCCACTCATGCATCATTAAAAACAAAAGGACATTTCCTCAGTATTTTCAAATGATGCATTATACAACAAACAAAAAGTTAGAACTTAAAATGCACCCTGATTAATTATGTAAACTGGTAATTTTCTTTTAAAAAGCATAACTAATAATTTGGTTCTTCATAAAATGGAAATTTAAATATTTCTCCTGATAGTCTTGAGGTTATCATTATGTTATGAGTAGTGCAAAGTGTGGCACACAGAGTTTCATCTAGAAAGGTGTGTCTTACACGCCTTATTAAACAAATGAAATGTGCATAACGAAATGCATACAGTCAATGCATGATAGAAAGCATGTTTCAAATATAAGGCAGCCCCGCAGGTCACCGTATTATTTAGGTTTTGCATTATCATTTATGGCATTATAGATTAATTACACATAACATACTTTTATACATTTTAACCCTGAAGATAAGAAAAACTGTCGCTTGAAGAAATTATTCCAGGTAGCCATTTGGTTTGTATCAGGAGAAAGTGAACCTCCAGGGGGTCGGTGTCTGCCGAGTCTGGAATCCTTAGCTCGAGTCAGCACGTCGGGTACGCGACACGTTTCACAGTGACTGTTTCCAGCCCTGGCGACAGCTCTTCTGCACGGTGCGCCTGCCAGGGGACGAAGCCTCTCTGGGATCACCCTTGCGTGTGGTTTTCCCTTTTTTTCCTTCGGGATTAACAGTATTATTTCCTCTTCTCACTTCTTCGATGGCCTTCCATTTTAATTATTCATAAATCCTTTCAGAATATCCTCCGAGAATTCCATCAGGGGAAGTTCTGGAGACGGAAAATCCAAGGGAGGAAGATTGGGTATTGGAATATCCTTGGCTTTCCCGGTATTTGCTGCAAACTTCTGCCAGGTCGAAGAGGCTGTAGCAGTTTCTGCATGTGGCGGCAAGCTCCACAACTCTGACTTCTCTACAAAATCAGCGTCCACATCTAGCTCCTTGTCCACTGGGCCTTTTAGGAGTCTGGCCTTTTCAGCCTTTAGTTGCTTATTTTCTTTCCTTAATCTTTCATTCTCAGCCACAAGGAATTCCACATGCCTCTTCAAATCTGCAATTTTGGTTGCCTGCTCCTCTATTACTGTTTTATCATCTTTAGGGGCTTTGCTGCCAATGCACAGTTCTGTCGGCTCACTCTTTTGCTGAAGTAAAAATAGCAGTGTGTCTGGATCCCTGTCAAAGACCCCCTGGACCTCGGGCGGACGCTTCTCCGTGGAAGGGCTGTACTTGTGCGGGAGGAGACTCTGGCCCTCGGCGTCCTCAGTGATGGGTCTGTGAGATGCCTGAGGCTGGGCAGCAGCGTCCCTGTCCGTGCTCTGCTGGGCTTTCAGCCTTTCCTCCCGCTTGGCCCTCTTCCACCGCTCCTGAATGAGCAGGAGCTGCTTCATGTGGCTGTCCCTTTGCAGTTCCAGTGATAAATGAGCCTATGACACAGAAAGAAAGGTGCCATTTAACGTTCTAAGTCTCTAGTAATGACCAGAAAACACTATTCCAAGATTCTCCTTTTTGAATAACCCGGTAACACTTAAAAATTCATATACTATGTTTACAATTCAGTTGAACCTCAATTTTTTTTCCAAAATAACCAGTGCTTTTAGGTAAGCTAACATGTTTTTGTTAGCTTGTGAATATAAACAAAATATCATTTATTCAGGAAGTCCTATTCCGAATCGACATTCTGAATCAGACCTTTTAAAAATGGGCTTTAACACTCTGCAATGCCACTGATACTCCGCTTAAAAGTCAGAAAAATATCCTCTTTAGACATCAATTCTACAACCAGCTAGGAAGTCCTCACTGGCAGGGTCTGCAGAATGCTCACATGAACAGTTCTACACGGTCAAAGGACAGTGTGCGGGTAGAACTCGACTTCTATGTTCTCTTTGTTCAGTTTGAGGAATTGGAGTTTTTTTCTTTCCCTGCCACTGACAGTCACTCACAGAAAGGATATCCTTAATTCAATTAAATAAACATTTACCAGGCACCTATGTACCTACCACTTGTATAACTAGGAAATCATCTTTGGATAAAGGTATTTTAAAAACCTAGGGAGGCCGTCCCCAAACACAGGAAAAAAAAAATTAAAGCCATTGGTGAAACAAATTTAAAAAGTAGCAAAATTATATAGGAATTCAGGAAAAAATAAGATTTACATGAACTCTGAGAAGCAAAGGGAAGGCCAACCGGTTCCTCCTCGCCCGGGTCCGCTCGCTCACTGTGCGCGGTCAGATGACGGCCACCAGGAGAGGCCCCGGCGGGGCTCCAGGACACACTGGCAACCCGAGGAGCGTAAAGAGCACAAGTAACCACCGGGAAAGGGACGAAAGTGTCTACACGCCATGTCTGGTCATCAACAACAGTTCATTTAGTTTTAATTTCCTTTCTAAAGTATTCTTCTTTTGCCCGTTTTATATACAGGGTATGGCAAAAATAGGTTTACATCTGTGAGCACATAAAACAAGAATTTATTCTTGTATTATTTTTATTAATTATTCTATTATTTTCCATATGAACTACTGCAAACCCATTTTTGCCTCACCCTATACTTCGACTCTAGTGTTTTCAGAGGGGCACAAAGCTTTATTTTATATACACTTCTTCACAAGAAAATCCTTCTAAACCTCACTGCAAATATTAAGGAAATGTCTCACCTGCTCAGACTGTGTCAGCTTCATGGCTTCGGAAAGATATGCTGGTTTTAAAAAAAAAAGAGGCATATTAATAAGTGTCATCATTTTGTAATTAACGGGTCAAAGGAAGAGCTTTAATGCCCCTCAGATGACATACACATGGACTCGGAGGCGACTCTGCTAGTTATCCTATTCCTGAAAAGAAACAAGGTGGGGGTCCGAAACCACATCAGTGGTAATTACAAGTAGATATTCCCTCCCCGATCTGCAAGGAGCTTGTTCTTTAAAATCCCTGAACATTACGCAATTTAGGAAGATGGCATAATCAGAAAATAGGGTTAGTGAGGACTAAAATTCAGTAGAAATGTATCAGAATGCTATTACTCATTATGCTCACAAAAACATCAAGAGCTGACTATCAACGATGTTTTTACCCACGTGAATACCCGGACCACCATTTGGGCCTCCTGCAGAACTTATCAACTTGTTTCTGAGCTAAGCCAACAGCTTTCTAGGAATCAGGGAGTTAAAAGCCCTAAGAACTTCCTGACATTTATTGTAAGCAAGTTGTCAAAACCAGTATACGAGGTCTGTCCAGGAAGTTTCCAGCCACATAAAAATGAAAACATGAGGCATTTATTGAAGATACAAGATACAAGAAACACTGTACATAGGACAATGTCGCCTCAGTCCCCTTCAAAGTGGACACCTTGGGACCTCACACAGTTCTCCCAGCGTCTCTTCCATTGTTCAAGACACTCTGAAAAATCCTTTGTTGGACTTGCCATCAGCTGCCCTGCTGTAATTTCCTGAATCTCGCTGACAGTCTGAAATCTCTTCCCTTTTGAAGGCGGTTTTAGTTCTGGGTAGAGCCAGAAGTCGTCGCAGGGCGCCACGTCGGGGATGTGGGGGGGGGGGCAGAGTCCCCTGGGTGACTGCAGTGTCACCAAAACACTCTCTCTGCATGAGATGTGACACATGAGCAGGCATGTTGTCGTGATGAGGCTGCCAATCACCAGCTGGTCTTAGCTGCGGCCTTCTGACTCACCCAAATCATCTCCATGGAGGAATGTTTAAGCTTAATGCAAAATCTGATGCAGAGTTGTTGCTCTACTTGCTGAGTCATTTTGAATGTGACAGCCACACAGTGCACATGCTCACTCAACAACATCTACCAACCCTACTGACTAGTACATGTAGGCATTGTCCTCGCATGTGCATTCCAGTCCACTCTCCTTGGCTGCGAGGTTACACTGATGTCACTCACGTGAACCAGTCTCGTTTTTTTAACAATGGCTGCACTGTTCCCAGACAGACCTTGTATAGTGTCATTGACCTGACCATAAATGGTCAGTAACTTAATAAACTTCTTTTTGATCTTAAGATCAGTTCCTAGGTGACTCAATTTGTTTAAATTTAAATAGTCACTGTAAAAAAACATGATTTTCCTCTTTGAGTTGACTGCTAGAATGGTAAAGCCAAGTTCTCCTAACAAATACGAAAGAACACATGGTGCATTTTGTGAACCAAACTCCCAGTCCTTCCTCATTTTATCTTTTAGTGGAGTCTCCATCTACTTCTTTTTAATTACATTTTATATGTTGTTGTATTCCTAAGGCCTTATACACATTTGTTGGAACAAGATAAGATACAAATAAATACTACTAACAAATTGTATTTAATCTCCATTTTTTATCTCCTGCTTACTACAAACTTTCTAACATCCCTCATCTCTACATTAAGTTCCTTTTTTTCCCCTTTCTGCAGATACTACAAGGCACTGCTACCTGTACCTGTCTGGTGTCCATCTTCCTGTCTAGTGTTGATCCAAATATGTTAATGACTGTCCAAGTCCATGACTCAGAACTGCTGTCTCTTGGGTTCTACCAGTCTTCAAGATATAGCTTCACTGGATGCTCCCTCCACAACAGAAAGCATGGAGGTGGTTATACAGTTTTTGCTCCAGCCACTTAATTTTCCTCAACACTTTTTTCTTTTATTCTTATATAAAGTCTGTACAGCTGCATAGAGACTATTCCTCTTCCTTTTCCTCATGTTTAACCCTGACGATGCAGTCTATATACTGCTCTGAGAGTGTGGATGAATTTTCCTAGCCATCCCTCCCCTTACGTCTGCATGCACTTGTCTCTCTGTCTGAACTAGTTTGCTTTAAATCTACCTTCTTAACAAATGGAACAATTTGGCAAAACCAAACGCAGAACAACTGGAATGCCTCCCTTTGTAGAATCTTTAAACTATAACAAGATAGAAGAAGATGCCCGAGGACAATGAGATGTCAAAAAGCAAAGAATTCAATAGGAGTCATACCGTCATTTAAAGTACAGTGATCCCTCACCTATCTCAGGAGTTACATTCCAGAGACACCTGTGACAGGTGAAAATCCGGGAAATAGCAGCATTATATTTATTTTATATATATATATATATATATTTTTTTTTTTTAAGGCTTTATAAACCCCACACTCCTATAAACATTTCCCACTCTCTTATTAACCTTTCCCACTCTTATAAACACTTCATATGCTCTTAAACACTTTCTACACTCTTAAACCTATGTAATTTTAACAACATATAAAATTCTATATGGGTACTCACCAGTGAAGTACAGTCATCCCTCACTATATCGCAGTTCACTTATTTGTGGCCTCACTGTATTGCGATGTTTTAGTGAAAAAAACCCATGCTATTGTGAAGCCGCAAGTAGGTGAACTGTGACACAGTGAGGGACCACTGCAGTTGCAGCCCTGGCTGGTGTGGCTCGGTGGGCTGGGTGCCAGCCTGAGAACCACAGGGTCACCAGTTCGATTCCTAGTCAGGGCACAGGCCTGGGTTGCAGACCAGGTCCTCAGTTGGGGGTGTGCAAAAGGCAACAGGTCAATGTATCTCTCACATCGATATTTCTCTTTCTCCTTCTTTTCCCCTCTAAAAATAAAATCTTTGTAAGTAAATAAGTGCTTACTTCAATTATGACACAAGGCTAATATTTAAAGTAAATGTTAAGCAAAGGATGGGGGAAAAGGAACTAAGAAAATGTGAAGAATCTATTACTTCTTAAAACAATAACCTCACTTACTATCCTATCATGACCCTGGTTATCCAAGTACAAACGTGCGGCCCATCTGGACACCCAGCAGAGCACTGCCCCTGGGCTCTGCACCCCTGTCCTGTCCCCGCAGTCTAATGACGGGAGGTCGGGTCAGGACCTGTGTCCACCCAGACACAGAAACACTGCACGCGGAGGCCCTGCTCATCTGAGACGTCCTTCTGAGTTCTAAACACTGTCACTGGACGTTAGTAACTTCCCACTCAAGCGTCTGCTCTTCCCGCTGTCGGGGAAAGAAGTTAAATCCACTTAAGGAATTGGACAGCCGAGGACTGATAGTTACAGCTGTTAATTCGGGTTTAAAGCAATCGATTTTTCTAACAATACTGAATCCTTGGAGTGTGTGGCCTCCTTTCTTTTTTCATATTAGAGGGTAAATGTGACTGTCTCTCCTCCTCCCCACCTTCTGCCAGATTTAGACAGCTTTTCCCTTCCTGAGATCTGGCATCTCGGTTTATCTGTCAAATGAATGCTTGTATGTTCATTTTATCTAATTCGGCCGCTGTTCACCTCAAGAGTAGATCCTACCTTGCCCCCAAAAGAAAAGAGAGATCAGTAACTTTCTTAGTCAACACATTTACAAAACAAACACTATCAAAACTACAAAATACACAGGCTATGAGTCCTTAGCTATGTAATCTCAAGGTACATTTTTAGACTCAATCTCCTCTGACCTTTGACAGCTGAACACAGAGGCCCCTTCTCTTGTCCCAAGTTCTCGTCCCAGGCTTTCCGCCCTATCGGTCTTTCTTCAACGGACCTTTCCCTGTTGTATCTCTAAAATGATTTCCAGCCCTGCCTGTTGTGGCTCAGGTAGTTGTACATCATCCGGCAAAGCAAAGGGCTGCTGGTCTGATTCCCAGTCGGGGTGCATGCCAGGGCTGTGGGTTCGGTCCCTGGCCAGGGCATGTTCAAGAGGCATCTGACCCATGTTTTTCTCTCACACTGATGTTTCCCTTTCTCCCTCCCTTCCCTTCTCTCTAAAAATAAATAAAAGCTTTAAAATGACTTCCAAACACTAAATTCCTTCCTCTCGAAATACATCCACACCCACACCTCCCAAAACACCACTATTACAAGCCCTAGATGTCAGTCAATTGAGAAAACACTGAGCTCATTCCAACCACGTTAGTTTTCAAACTAGCACTACACTGACAACCCCACTCTGAAATGCGACTCGAGGCTATTTTTAACCAAGTTTAAACTCCCAGTCGAATCGGCTCTGTGGGATTAACTAATCACACCGAAGTTCTACATCCATAATTATAGCTAATGGGGCCCAACAGGCTGCCTTTATCTTTTCTACTCCTGAGGGTGTCACAGAATTTAGACACGGAGAAGGGGGGAGATGTGTTTAAAGCCCAGTATTAGTTTTAAGTCTTCAAATAAAGACAGGGATGAAGGTTAGGAATGAAAGGAACTTTTCTCCCTTTTAGATATTCAGAATACCCTACTGTTCAATGCATAAAATGTGCTAACCATTCTATTTTAATATGTTATACATGTGTAATCACAACTACTCTGGGTTATTTAACTAAAGATGTCATTTCACTGTGGCATTCATCCACAACATGGTTTTCTTAAATAGTATATAGCACATTGTATTTTCTTTATAGTGACTACAAATTTAATAATTTGATTGCTAACAAAACAGGGTTTTTGAAAGATTTGAAGAGTACTACCTACCATGTTTAATGTTGTATAAAGCTCCCATAAAACTCACGATGAAAGTTTAAAGATCTGTGGGGTACATACTATGTGCTCAGCTCTATAGCTGAAGAGGTACACTTCAGTGGAAAAACTAATTGTTTAAAAAAGTGACTTGAAATTTTCTTTGAAAAACCACTGACTTATAGATAAAAATCATTGATTTATAGGCAAAAATCACTGACAGAAGACTTATACAAACCAGCGTCCACTGCATGGTCTGTACTTTAGCAGTATAATAGCACAGGAGGGGCGAACTCTGCAGGAGACAGCACGGCTTTGATGACCATGCTGGCCTGTGGGGAAACTCAAGGACCTTCTTCTTACTCCAGCACAAAGATGAGAAGGCTTGTTCTCAGACAGGTGGCTATACTGGCTTTGGATGAAGCATGAATAAAACACTCCCTTTCCCAAAGCTTTTACATTTGCTATTGATCCAACAAAAAACAGTACAAAACACACCCTGAAGGTCTAAGTTCATGTGCGGTAGTTTGTATGACTGGGACAAAATTAGGTGTTTGATGAGAAGCCAATTACTCTAAATTTTATACTTCAAATAAAGCTATCATCAACATGGTATCACAAGCATGAACATATAGATGAAATATTCAGATTCAGAAGGGAAGCCAGAGAAAAAGCACAGGAAAGATTTTTAAAAGATTTTATTTACTTTTAAAGAGGGGAAGGGAAGAGAGAAAAAAGAGAGCAATATCGATGTGTGCGTGATATACCGATCAGTCGCCTATCACACCCCCTCCTGGAGACCCAGCCCACAACCCAGGCATGTGCCCTGACTTTGAACCACCGACCTTTGGGTAAACAGGCCAGCATTCCATCTACTGACCCACACCATCCATGGCAGAAAAGTTTTGATGGGTCTTATCAACATCTCAGAAAACAAACTCAGGGAAAACTGGAATTAAACTAGTGATTACTTTCCAAACCCAAAACAGCTAACTATCTGAAATCCAGACTCCTTTTCTATAATAACTAAGATGAACTGGCAAACTTCTTGCAATCACTTTAGCCTTTAGGATTATCTTTGGGCTCAGAAGCCGTGTCCAGGAACCATTTACCAACATGGCATGTGCATCAAGGTTAAGAAAGACTGGGTTAAGAGGAAATTCAACACGCTCAAAGAATAATGCAAGCAGCTTAAGGCGGCTTCCACTCAAGATGGAGGCATAGGCAGACACATCTTCCCTCCGAGCACAACCATAAGAAGGAACACAACTAACTTAAAAAAGAAAAACCCAGAACTGCCAGAAAATCACCCAGAATGGTACAGAAGTCCAACAACCAAGGGTTTACAGAAGGTATATACATGCAGACAGGTAGGATGGGCAGAGACAGTGAATCTTTGTGGAGAGGACTTGGTGTGGCAGTAGTGAGTGAGTGGGGCAGCGAGGCAATGGTAGCAGAAGGGATAGGGAACCCCATGTTCACATGTGGTGGACAAAGATCAAGAAGACACCTTGTAAGCAAGTGAGCCCAGGCCACACTATGCAGCCCAGGGCTCCAGTGCCAGGAAGAGAAAGTGCTGTAAGCCCAGGGAGGGTTAGGTCTGTGGAAGAAGTTGCCAGTTTCTCAGGAGAGCCGAGGAGTATGCAAACACACCCACCCTGGGAACCACAACCAGGACGGCAGATGAAGGGGCGCCAGTCATTCACTGGAAGTGGGTGAAGTGACTGGAGACAGGGTGAGGACCAGGCAAGACCCCAGAAATCAGCCAGCAGCAGCACTGTCCCCACTCTGACCCCTCCTGCACACAGAGGGAAGACTGCCCTGTCCTGGTGAATATCCAAGGCTCCAACCCATACAATTTAGCAGCTGCACGTGTTAAAACAGAATCAAAGCAATTCTACCTAGTACACAGACAAAGAGAGGCTGCCAGAGTTGGGAGACAAAGAGATGTGGCCCAAATGAAGAAACAGAACAGAATACCAGAAAGAAGAATTAAGAAACGTGAAGACAGCCAAACCTATCAGATGAAGAGTTTCAAAACACTGATGATCAGAATGCCCAAAGATCTCACTGAATACAGCAAAAGCATAAGGGAAGAAATGAAGGCTATACTAAGGGAAATAAAGAAAAATCTATAGGAAACCAACAGTGAAGGGAAAGTAGTCAGAATTCAAATCAGTGATTTGGAACATAATGAAGAAATAAACATTCAACCAGACCACAATGAAAAAACAATAAAAAAAAAAAAAAAAAAAGAATTTAAGACGACTCTGGGAAATCACCAAAAGGGCCAATATCTGAACCATAGGGGTGCCAGAAGAAGAGGAACAGCAAGAAATGGAAAAGTTTTTTTGTAAAAATAATAAAAGAAAACTTCCTTAATTTGTCAAAAGAAACAGACATGCAAGTCCAAGAAGCACAGAGTCCCAAACAAGTTGGACCCACACAGGCCCACACCAACTCACATTATAATTAAAATGCCCAAGGTTAAAGATAAGATGAGAATCTTAAAAGCAGCAAGAGGAAAGGAGACAATTACCTACACAGGAGTTCCCGTAAGACTACCAGCTGATTTCTCAAAAGAAACCTTGCGAGCAAGAAGGGGCTGGAAACAAGCATTCAAAGCCATGAAAAAGCAAGGACATACACCCAAGATTACTTTATCCAGCAAAGCTATCATTTAGAATGGAAGGGCAGATAAAGTGCTTCCCAGACAAGGTAAAAGCTAAAGGAGCTCAGCATCACCAAGCCCTTATTATATGAAATTTAAAGAGACTTATTTAGGAAAATGATTAAGATCAACTATATGATTAACACCATATGAAAACTATGAACATTAAAATGACAACAAACCCACAACCAGAATCTAAAACACAAACTAAGCAAACAACTAGAACGGGAATAGAATTATACACATGGAGATCATTTGGAGGGGTTTCAACTGAGAGGGAAAAACGAGAGACTGGGGGAAAAGGTACAGGGATTTAGAAACATAACTGGGCAGGTACACAATAGACGGGGGATGTTAAGAACAGTATAGGCAATGGAGAAGCTGAAGAACTTACATGCACAACCCATGGACACGAACTACGGGGGCGGTGGGGGGTGGGGACTGCTGAAGGGAAGGAGGGAACCAGGAGGAAGTCCAAGGGAGAAATGCCAGGACAACTGTAATAGCATAATAAAACATATTTTAAAAAAGTAATGCAAGCTTACGTTCCAGTGGATCAGTGAGGGAAACAATACATCATTACTACTATGACTTTCATATTAAACAGTGTTGAGAGATACTGGAGAAAGATTAATTGCCCCACAGTTTTGGACTCAGTATTTCTTACAATACTCACCTGTAGCCTTTTTGTGACAAGAAATAGCCTCCTCGTATTTCCCTGCAGCTAATAAACGATCTGCTCGTCTGCTCTGTTGATGAGCCTAGGAAACAAACATTTGTAAGTTACTCTGAATCGTAAAGAGAGACATAATTTTTTTTAAAAACGATCTTTTAAGAAGATGAACGCTATTTGTTGCCGCACATCAAACCATTTACAGCTGTATCTGTGTTGGGAACTCTAATAGGTGGCACCTAAAAGGACAGGCCAGTTTCCTCAACTCTACTAAAAAGGAGTAAGGTTAACACCAGACCCTTCAACTCCTTCAGAATCAACATTCTTCAACTCTTCAGAGATTAACCAAGAGTTTCAATCATAGATTGCTACTCAAAATGTGTTTTCTTGATTTTTTAATAAGTCTCTTTCAAAATGAGTTATTTTACAGACACTTTGACTAGTTTGCACAGTTTAACAATTATAATCAGGAAATTATTTATTAAATGGTAAAACCCAAGCTTCTCTTGAATCAACTCATTCTTCTTTCAACCTTAAAGTTACTTATGTTTTTAAAGTATAAAATTTGTACATTGTACAGTTGAAAAGTTCATGGTACCTGTAATTAATATTACAGTAGAGATTTTCTTAGGTACAGCTCATCAAACAACAAAGACAAACTCAAAAGTCCTGAAAACAAATGAATAAAGTACCCCCGAATGTAAAGGTAAATGGATTAAATGAGTGGTCACTGGTCTCCTTCCTTCTCTATTATATGTTAAGAATTACTACAACTTTGATGGACTTCCGGGAAAGATGGAGGCCTAGATAAACATGGCTCACCTCCTCGCACAACCACATCAGAATTACAACTAAAATATGGAACAATCATCACTCAGAACCATCAACTATCGAGTTGAATGAAGTCTGACAACTATGGAATGAAAGAAACTACATCCATCCAGATTGGTAGGATGCAGAACAGACTAATCCCACATCTACATTTGGTGGATAAAAATGTGGGAGAGATATCTAGGGTGTGAGGAGTCCCAGCCACACACCAGGCTCCCAAACCATGGTTCTAGTGCCAAGAAGGTAAGTTGCCATAACTTCTGGCTACAAATACTGGAAAAGATTGAGTCAATGAAAGAAGCTTCTGGAGTTCCAAGCAGTTCCTCCTAAAAAACCCAAACACGAACTCCGGCTCACTTCCTCTGAGCTCCAGCACTGGGGCAGCAGCTTGAAGGGCAACTGCTGTTGCACCAGTGGCATGAAGGGAGAAAATGAAATATCCATCAAGGTAGGAGCTGGGGGACAGAGGGACAGGCAGAGGCCATTGCCCTTTTTCTAAGCCCTCCTCCTACACAGCCACAGACCCACAAGCTGGTGCCCTATCTGAGACTCCATCTACCTGGCTAACACTGTCTGCACTACCCTGGAGAGCCCCAGTGAGCCTTCCCACCCACTTAAGGGCCCACTCAGACTGCTCTTCTATGTGAATGGCTGGTCTTGGCTCCTGCTTCACAACTTCCTAAATCCTACCAAACAGGCACAAGCCAGCCTTGGTGAACTGCCAGCCCCATAACTCTTGCTAAGTGGCTCCAGTCCCATCACTAGTAGCAGCCAGTCTAGATTCACCAACTGGCTTTGCCTGGGAATTCCAAGCCCTGCACAAGTAGCAGCCATCTCAGATTGCTTTATATAGCTCGGGCAGGGTGGCCCTGGCAAAAAAAAAAACCCCACAGGTGGGGGCTGACCTTGGACTGCACCACGGGGAAAACCCTAGGGCCAGCCCACCCAGTGGAGAGCTACAGACCACAACGGAGCACCACTGCTCTGCACCCACCACTACTACTCTGCACCTACATGGCTGATCAGCCACAGAGGACAGAGCTTGGTGGTCAGTGGTCACAGTCAGTCCCTGAAACTGGCTGGCCTGGGAGGGGAGGCCATGAAAGGCAAGGACCTACATCCAAGATTGCTCTATCCAGCAAAGCTATCAGTTAGAACGGAAGTGCAGATAAAGTGCTTTGCAGATAAGGTCAAGTTAAAGGAGTTCATCATCACCCAGCCCTTATTATACGAAATGTTAAAGGGATTTATCTAAGAAAAAGATGATCAAAACTATGAACAGTAAAATGATAACAAATTCACAACTATCAATAACTGAAGCTAAAAAAAAACAAACAGAAGCAAACAACTAGAACAGGAACAGAATCACAGAAAAGGAGGTCACATGGAGGGTTATCAACAAGGAGGGGGAGGGGAGAAAAAGGGGGAAAAGGCACAGGGAATAAGAAGCATAAATGGCTGGTACAAAATAGAGAGGGGGAGGTTGGGAACAGCACAGGAAATGGAGAAGCCAAAGAACTGACATGTACAACTCACTGATATGAACTAATGGGGGAATGCTGGAGGGTAGGAGGGTGCAGAGTAGAGGGGAATGAAAGGGTGAAAAAAACAGGACAGCTGTAATAGCATAATCAATAAAATACACTTAATAAGTACAAATATGTAGCTACAGAGTAGCCACAAGGATATGCAGTAAATGGACTAGCCAAAGAACCTATGCATGACCCATGGGCACTGAAGGGGGAAAAATTGGGACAAGTGTCATCGCATAATCGATAAAATATAATAAAAAAGGAATTACCACAACTTCGTAAGTATGTTTGTTTCCCTCTCTTATAAGAGGTCCAGACTCAGAGAGGTTATATCTTACATAAGGTTAAACAGTAGGCAAGGAGAAAGACAATCAACTGAAGTCTTCTATAGCTACTGTAATGTTTTCCTCACTAACAAATTCAGATTACTTAGCAAAGCTGTTTTTAAACTGTGCAAAGCACTGTATACCTACGTTCGTAGCATCATTATTCACAATTGTCAGAAGGTGGAAGCAACCCAAATGTGCACCAATATATGAATGAATGAATGAACAAAATGTGATATATACATACAATGGAATATTATTCAGCCTTAAAAAAGGAGGAAATGGACACGTGCCACATCATGGATAAACTTTGAAGACGTTAAGCTTAATAATGAAATATAAACCAGTTATGAAAAGACAAATAGTATATGATCCCACTTACATAAAGTATCGGAAGTAGTCAAACTCACAGACAGAAAGTAGAATGGTGGTTGCCAGGGGCTGAGGGGAGAGAAAAGTAAGTTCTTGTTTAATGGCTATAGTTTCAGCTTTGCAAGATGAAAAAGTTCTGGAGATCTGTTTCACAACAATGTGAATATACTTAATGCTATGAAACTGGACACTTAAATATAATAAAGAAGGTAAGTTTTATTATGTTATGTGCGCTTTTTTATATCACCTCAACTTTTAAAAAAGTAAAAACAAATCTGTTTTGTCAGGTGTAAAGTGACTAATCTAGCATGCTTTTCAAAAAAAATGTGCCACTCATCATGCACAAAAAATACTCTAGAGTAATCACTTTGACAACTGAAATTAGAAACTTGTTCTCTAAGCCTCAATTTACTCCTGAAAATAATAATAAATAACAATACATGGCTGGGTGCTTAAAATAATTTTAACCATGCAGTCTTGGACTGAGCAAAAAATATGTCCTGAACACAGCAGTATGTGATAGTGCCCAGAGGTGATAGAGATCTTTCAGGAAGAGCATGTACACAGAGAAGAAAGCTAAGTTATGATCAACATGATTTATCTAAGGAATATGTTCAGATAATCTAGTCAAAGCAAGTGGTAATCAGCAAGGTTTCAGGCAGGAAATTTAAAAAAAAAAAAAAAAGGTAAAAGGGGTGAACCTGCAGATGTCTTTACCTTCCTGAGCTTTGAAAGACGCCCTACATAAGAGACAAACCTTCTTCGACATCCCATAGTACATCTTATAAACGACACGGTGCAGAGCCAGCACTGCCAAGAATCTAGGGCTCTTGGCTTAAGTACTGGCTTACCAACTAAACGGCATTAAGCAATTCATCCTTTAGGGCCCGTTTTCCCACCTGTAAAATGGAGCTGGACCAGACCTATACTTCAAGTTTTAATGGAATACAAACCACCTGGGGATACGGTTGAAATGCCATCTGTTATTCAGTAGGTCTGGAGCAGGCCTTGAGATTACCAAGGTGAAGCTGGGGGCTACTAAACACACTGAGGTGCAGAGACGGGCTGCTCTCTGAGGCCACCTCACTCTAATTTTATTTCTCTATCATCTCTCTCATGTCATTAATCACTTTCTACCCTGAACTCTATTTGTGAAGCTCCCAATTAAACTTCATACTCCACAATAACAATAAATTGTTTCCCCAAGGAAACAAAAATTCTTAAGTGGTGAGAACAGGACCTCATGGCTCTCCTGACTCCCCTTGAACTTCACCATGTAATGTCCACTCTCGTCACTGCCAATTTAGGAGTTACATCTCAATAAAAAAATACACACCTCTTCTAGGCCTCTCGGAACCAGAGTAACAAAATTCTATTAAAAAATAGGGTTCTGGGCGGGGGTGTGGGGGGAGGCAGGGAGAGTAATGGGGGAAAAAGGGACAAGTGTAATTGAACAATTTAAATTTTTTTAAAAATACAGACAGCTCCCACTAGGTTCTTGTTAGACACCCAGAAAGTGCAGACTCTGGACGGAGCTTAACTACCCAGGTTCAAATTGAGGCTTGAAAATTTATTAGACAAATGAACTGGTTTCTTAACTTTGAGTTTTCTCATCTCTAAAATGAGTATTGTCAAAATTAACTATTTAAAATACAGTGAAAGCATTGGAAGTGTCTGCCATCAAAAAGTTTACGATGTAGCCAGGGAGACTAAGTCTAGTCTAAATAAACCGCCTTCACACTAACCTGTGCGGCTCAGCTGACTGGGTGTCGTCCTACAGCACAAAGGGTTGCGAGTCCCTGTCAGGGCACAAGCCTGGGTGGTAGCTTTAGTCCCCAGCCGGGGTGTACACGAGAGGCAACTGGTCAATATTTCTCTCTCACGTTGCTGTTTCCCTCCCCCCGTCTCCCTCTCTAAAATAAATAAAATATTTTAAATAAACTGCCCTTTTTAAAAACCTGAAGATTGTAGAAAACTTATTTTAGCAGTTCTTATTTTTAAAAAAAACCTTTTTAATTTTTTAAAAA